TTAGTTATATATATATATATATATATATATATAATTTTTCCTCAAGAATAATATAAACTTCTCACACTAAATTATTAAAAAATAGTGTTTTTAATGGAATAGCTTTGTGTTCAGTAAGCGCTCATTTAACGGTTTATTCAACAGTTGTTATCATGTTTTCTAACTTTCCTTATTCGTAGCAAGGTTAGGTTAGTCGCGTCTCGAGAAAGATTGAACTGTAATCTTGTTGCCAAAAATATTATTGACACTATTTGATTTCAAATAGAGTGACAATGTTTGATAATAAAATGAGGTGGAAGCGTACGAGCAGTACTGGTGTCGTTGAAAAAATTATAATTTTGGACTTGCTTGTTCCGATCGCTCGCTAGCGTTGTCACACGTAAAAATCATACGCTCCGATTGTCGTGTAACGCATTTGTAGGTGATCACAAATACATATATAGCAACAAACACGTAAACGTATTAATGTGTTTTCTTCCCCGATATCTAGAATAACGCGGCAAGCTATCATTGAGTGATAATACAGTATATTTATTGAGTGACGTTGTAAACGGTTAAAATATGTCTTCGTACCCAAGTGATTTATCACGTTCTCAGGAGTACTTGAGTTTTCGCAGTTCTGTACCACTCAGGAAAATTATCGTCGATGCCAACGGCATCAAGGTTCTTATTTCCTCTCATTGATTTTCCATAATTCGATATTTAGTTGTTTATAAATTTTCCTTTCTTTTCATTATTGATCTTTTCATAAGTCAAAGATATAATTTTTTATTTCAAAAAGAGAGAGATAGAGAGAGAGAGAGAGATTTGAGCATAGAAATAAGTAATAAAACAGCAATTTTATTCTGAAATCTTTCTTGCAATTGTTTCAGGGATGGAAGGTATATGATTCCAATCCAAAAACTATCAAGTGCCCACTTATATGTCTTCCACCAGCTTGCGGTACTGCTGATATATTTTTTAAGCAAATATTAGGTCTGGCTGCCAAAGGTTACAGAGTTATATCAGTGAGTATTATATCGAGTATGTGAAATTCTGAAGCATTTAAATATGTATAAAGTTATTCAAAAGATTTCGCTAATATTGCATTAGTATGCAATATTAAATAAAAAGTTTATCTTTATAGGTTGAGCCACCAGTTTATTGGAGTATAAAGGATTGGTGCGATGGATTTAGAAAACTGTTGGATTATCTAGAACTTGACAAGGTTCATCTTTTCGGTGCTTCCCTAGGTTAGAATGTATAAGCAAACTGTTTTCTTTTTTAAAGATCTACCTAATCTTATAAAAATGAAAAATATTTAAGCATATATATTTATGTCCACAGGTGGCTTCCTGGCACAGAAATTTACAGAGATAAATGCTCACTGCCCTAGAGTAGTATCCTTAGTTTTGTGTAACACTTTTACAGATACATCTATATTTAGTTCCAATGATTCTGCAGGAATGTAAGTCGCATGTTTTAAAAAGTTCAGTTTATTCTATATATTTTAGTAAGAGATTTCTTATATTGCCTCGTTTTATACTATTTCATACTATACGTTTTATACTATTTACAGTTTTTGGATTTTACCTTCATTGGTACTAAAAAAAATGATAATGGGAAATTTTGCAACACAAAAGGTTGATGGAGAGATCGTAGAAGCAATTGATTTCATGGTGGAACAGGTATGGACCTTATTTTTCTTATATTGAAAATAGAAGGCAATATACAAATTGCTTACTCTAAAAATTTGGATTTCTAAATTCATATATATACTGATACTATACTTTCTAGCTGGAAAGTTTAACGCAATCTGAATTAGCATCACGTTTAACAATGAATTGCATAAATTGCTATGTACAACCGCAAAAAATATGTCACTTGCCTGTGACAATAATAGACGTTTTTGATGATTATGCTTTATCAAATGCAACTCGAGAAGACATGTATAAATGCTATCCAAATGCAAAACTAGCACACTTGAAAACTGGTGGAAATTTTCCATATTTAAGTCGATCCGCCGAAGTTAATCTACATTTGCAGGTAAATTTATAAAATTCCATTACAATTTAATGTATCTATTATAATCAGATATATCTTATTATATATATCTTATCATTTTATAATGTATGTTTTTTTTAGATTCACTTAAGACAGTTTGAAGGCACAGAATATGCAGCTTCAGAAACAACTAAGAGTTAGCAAAATACGTTAATTTTAGAGAAAAAATAAACATTGATAAAACAGAGAGGGCTTCAGTTATGCATATAAGGATATTAAGAATATGGACGATGTCTGCACCTTTCCCATTGATCCAATTGTGATTCAGTTGATCTCTCAATTTAACTCTCAATGAAGTAATGTTTTTTACAGTATACAAGTACTATATATAATTATATCTTAGTTATGAAACAACTAGTTCTTTAAGTATAAAAATGATTTATATTTTGTAATATCCTGATTTTTTTTAGCTGTACAAAAGAAGGAAGAACATTCTATTAAATATCTATTACCGCAAGCAGAAGCATTTTAATAATTTACTGATATATTTAATGATATATTATTATTAATAAAAATAAGAAATATATATTTTTTTCTATATATAATTTTTACTATGTGAATTTATACATAATTTTTTTCCCTCTCTTTTAATCTGAATTTAATAATGAAATATTTTTGAAGTAATTTATGTTATTATTTTTATCACAAGTTTAAGATAAGTACTCTTATAAAATTTGAAATATAATTGGTTATATTATATTAATATTTGAGATTGTTATTCCTTTTTAAACTCCATTGTAATTAAGTAATCACATGCAAATATGATGAATGAATTTACTTACCAATTGATATGTGCATAGCGAAGCACAAGTTTGTCATGTGTCCAGAATCTGAAAAATGTAACATATAATTTTTAATAACAAAAATACATATATTATAGTAATTTATATCTCTTAACATTGCTAACATTTGGCTATCAGGACTATTATTATTGTCATTTTTATTAGAATGTGACTATGTGCAAATTGAGTGAATAATTATTTAAACGTTTTAATTAATATTCAATAAATATTTTAAACATCTTAATAAGGTGTACATTTGCATGTTATCACAATTATGTACATATTTCAATAAGAAATAAATAATCATATTTACCAGCTAGGAAACTGTGCCAATTTTTCCGTGTCAGCTCCATCGAAGAATCAACGAATAATTTCACTATTCACGATTAATTACGCGCACTACTAAACAAAAGTGTACTCACACACTTATGTGAAATCGTAGATTTAATCGTAATTATAGGTCTGTTCTTTATAGCTGAACTGGCTGTACTAGTTCAGAGTTTATCTTTTTCCCTCCACATTGGAAGGAGAAAGATAAACTCTGAACTAGTGCAGCCAGTTCAGCTATAAAAAACAGACCTTATGCTACGTCGCGGAACTCCAACATCAAATTCGCTTTGTGCAACGCGTTCACACATATAACTGTAATCAGTGGAGCGGAAGATATTGTCGCCGATGTCACACACACACACACACACACACACACACACACACACACACACACACACACACACACACACACACACACACACACACACACGACACACACACACACACACACACACACACACACACACACACACACACACTTAGAGCGAGCGAGAAGAAAAATGAATATTCTGGGGGCGTACACGCGACATCGTATGAATATAAGTACAATGATAATTGTTTTATTCAATTTAATTCCGATAAAATAATAATCATATCGAAATAAGCTACATTTTCAAAACACTACGTAAAATTTAATTATATTGAACGCCTCTGTTGTGTGACAACGAAATCTGTATTCTCTCAAGTCATTCATTTAAATCACTAAACAAAATGTCGTTAATCATAAATACCTTTGGTAAATAATAAATTCTAGTAATCGCCCGTCACTTTAATCGACACTCCCGACAGAAACTCGTACTGACTATTTACTTTTAACGTACAAAATATGTTTTAAGAGAGTTCAGAGGATATTCGCGGTACGCGTTCCGAACTGTGGTGTCAAAATAACTCTCGCAATGGTCGGAAGGTGACGCGCGTAACACAGTGAACTAGTAAATTACTAGAAATATTGGCCGCATCAGCGGACTCAACAGTTGAGTTACTAGATTTTCCTCTGCATGACGCTGTTGATTTGTTGGCTCTAAAAGTAAGAGCCAATCACGTTCGATTGCTACTGAGCGTGTTGTTCCGCTGAATACGCTCATTGTGTGCTATATTGGCGAATTCCCACTGAGCGTGTCACGCGCGCGTTATCCGTCGCGTTACGAATTAACCAATCAAAACATCCCATTTTATTGCATTATTTGCCGCGCGAATAAAATGGGATGTTTTGATTGGTTAATTCGTGACGCGACGGATGATGCCGACGCGTCACGAATATAATATGATGCATTTTTAGAAGTTTACTAGATCGCTTACGAATTGCTGCAACAAGTTGCATAGTCTGATTAAGGCTTAAGATAATTTAATCTATTTCCTTATGTGCATCTTTTTATGGACCATTCCTTATGCATATGCTTATGCAAGTTTATGTGAATATACCCTTTAGGCGGGAGCACAGACTTTTGCATAAAGCATAAGCATAAGGAAATTGATTGGTCCGTTTCTTTATGCATTTGCTTATGCTTATATATAGACCAATCAATTTCCTTATGCTTATGCGTTATGCTTTATGTAAAAGTCTGTGCTCCGGCCTTTACAGGCAAAATATATCAGTCATCGATATTAAAGAGACATGAGAGCAGTTATCTTCGCATTTTTCATCAAAGTAACGTTCTTCAGTATCGACTGAAGGACAAAACAATAATTGATATGTTTGACGTTACGTGCGTCATTCGGCCATCGTGAGAGCTTCTATTATGGCATGTCGATCTTAAAACGTTTGTATAATAAGCGACATAATAGAATTGTTTTTATGACGTTTACTTGACCCAGTGATGCGATATTTCCCACAGCGGTCCCGGCTCCGCTGCCTCACACAACCTTACAGAAGCGCTACGTCACGTATCCGTGTGAGCTCGGCCGTTCAACCAATGGAAGAGAGCGAACGCTCCCTTCCACCGAGCCGACACAACAGACGATAAATGCATGCTACTTGCATGTTAAAAGCAAGCGTTACTGATTCAGAAAAGAAATTCTGAGGCGAGTGGCTGGAATATTAGAGATCACCTGTTCGAAACCTGCTTCGTGCAACTTTTTTTCTTTTTCCACATTTGTTTCTAACATAGTAAATTATTAGATAATATTTTTTTGCCCGAAAAAATAATATTTTCTATTTATTATTAATATTCGCATATATTAAACTAACAATTTTAGAAATAATACAGATCTGCTATTGTTAATAGAAAAATGAAGTTATTTTACAATGTTGCAACAAAGTGCTAATTTAACATATGCGAATATTTTTAATAAAGATAAAATAATTTTTTTAGCCAAAAACATTATCTAATAATTTACTTAAAATAAATATCAAAAAAGGAAAAAAAGTTACAAAATCACAGTTTTCAAACACGAGATTTTTAATATTCTTGCCATTCGTCTTACTCGTTTAGCCATGCTTGTTATTTTACATTTATCAACATAAAAGATTACACGCTTGCAAAGCTTTTAATTATTTATTTTAAACTACTGCATATTAGCAAGAGTTACTGCAGTAACTACATATACATGTACTGTGGAGATTAGTGGAGGAACACAGTAGCATATTAAAACTGCAGTCAAATAGATGTAGATTGGTAATTTTATTTAATACTATTAATAAGTAGTGGTCTTCCGCACCACCTTTGAGGTTCCACTTATGGCGCGTTCGATTTTTTTTAAGTGGATCGTCGCCTGGAGCTCTATTGTACCACTTTTTTTTACACCTGTTATTTACAGGTTAAAATAATTTACAGTAGTTGACACTGTATTTTTGTATCTATATACTTACTGTACTTTGTATATTCACTGTACTTGTACTTTTGCGCGTTGCGCGTATATTGGCGAGTTGGGAAAATTACTTACTTTATAATTTTTTATAAATACAAAATATATTTTGTATTTATTATGCCTGCAATGCTATCAAGAGTAATGAGAAATACAAGGTGTCCCATTTTAAACAATCCACTCAAATATCTCAGAAACGCCGAGTTAAATAATAAAATTTTTAAATAAAAGTTAGTAGGATTTGAAGAGGGAAAAAATATAGGGATATTTGTTTGACCTTGGATGGAAGCGCTTCTGAGATTTGAAGGTCATTTTTATTTTTTTAAATGAAACCACATACTTACATAAACTATAAAATATCTCGTTAAATATTAATTTTTCAATTATCTTACTTCAACACTTTTATGCACAAAATAATGAGAGGAATCAATTGGTGTAAAAAATACATAGTTGACTTTAAGAAAAAGTATATATATTTAAGAAGAAAGTATATTATATCATATCTGCTAAATATAGCTTAAATATAGCTCTGCTAGATTTTTTCTTAAAGACAACTATGTGTTTTTTTTATACCAATTGATTCCTCTCATTATTTTGTGCATAAAAGTGTTGAAGTAAGATAATTGAAAAATGAATATTTAACGAGATATTTTATAGTTTATGTAAAATTATGTCAAATTAAAGTATAAAATATCTTGTAAACCATTCAATTTTCGGCCATCCTAGTTTTATAACTTTTTACGACAAATATTATGAGAAATCGATTTATATAAAAAAATTAAAGTGGTTCCATTTAAAAAAATAAAAATGACCTTCAAATCTCAGAAGCGCTTCCATCCAAGGTCAAACAAATATTCCTATATTTTTTCCCTCTTCAAATCCTACAACTTTTATTTAAAAAATTTTATTATTTAACTCGGTGTTTCTGAGATATTTGAGTGGATTGTTTAAAATGGGACACCTTGTATTTCTCATTACTCTTGATAGCATTGCAGGCATAATAAATACAAAATATATTTTGTATTTATAAAAAATTATAAAGTAAGTAATTTTCCCAACTCGCCAATATACGCGCAACGCGCAAAAGTACAAGTACAGTGAATATACAAAGTACAGTAAGTATATAGATACAAAAATACAGTGTCAACTACTGTAAATTATTTTAACCTGTAAATAACAGGTGTAAAAAAAAGTGGTACAATAGAGCTCCAGGCGACGATCCACTTAAAAAAAAATCGAACGCGCCATAAGTGGAACCTCAAAGGTGGTGCGGAAGACCACTACTTATTAATAGTATTAATAAAATTACCAATCTACATCTATTTGACTGCAGTTTTAATATGCTACTGTGTTCCTCCACCTAAATCTCCACAGTACATGTATATGTAGTTACTGCAGTAACTCTTGCTAATATGCAGTAGTTTAAAATAAATAATTAAAAGCTTTGCAAGCGTGTAATCTTTTATGTTGATAAATGTAAAATAACAAGCATGGCTAAACGAGTAAGACGAATGGCAAGAATATTAAAAATCTCGTGTTTGAAAACTGTGATTTTGTAACTTTTTTTCCTTTTTCGATATTTATTTTAAGTAAATTATTAGATAATGTTTTTGGCTAAAAAAAATTATTTTATCTTTATTAAAAATATTCGCATATGTTAAATTAGCACTTTGTTGCAACATTGTAAAATAACTTCATTTTTCTATTAACAATAGCAGATCTGTATTATTTCTAAAATTGTTAGTTTAATATATGCGAATATTAATAATAAATAGAAAATATTATTTTTTGGGCAAAAAAATATTATCTAATAATTTACTATGTTAGAAACAAATGTGGAAAAGGAAAAAAAAGTTGCACAAAGCAGGTTTCGAACAGGTGATCTCTAATATTCCAGCCACTCGCCTCAGAATTTCTTTTCTGAATCAGAAACGCTTGCTTTTAACATGCAAG